CGCCTCAAACAATCTTTTCAAACTTAAGTGGAAAATTAATCAACAATAGTTATTATCCCCCTATAAATTATTCTCAAATGCGGTGAGGGTAAGTGTTAGATTTGCACGCTTGGAATGTGGCAAAATTTCATGCTTGGCTTGGATAGATTTTAATATTTTCAATCAAAAAATAATTAAGCTTGAAATTATTCATAAATATACTGGATATTTATGACTTTTTTTTATGAGCATTAATTGTGTTACAATGTCATTTCTATTCTGGACGTGGTTTATAAAACATGAAGTTTTTTCTCTCAATCTTCTTTGTCTTTCAATCTTTTTTTTAAATATAATATATTTCACTAAGTTAAATTGTAAATATTTATTAAAAGATAACTTTTGTATTTATTATCAGTTTTTCATATATAATATATCAAATTAACTATGTCTTGTGTTGATCAACATATTTGATCTACCCAAAGCACTAATTAAATACTAGTAATAAGGTACTTAAGTTGTTAAAATCGAGTGGAAAGTGGCTTGTGTAAAAATGAGTATAGACGAGGTCAGGTATTTCAACCAATGAGCTAGGATGCTCGTCTTAAATGCAGAATTTATTGAGAGAACATATGTATTTCTTATAGAAATTTTTTTTTTTTTTTTTTGAACTCGTTCTAGGATTTCTATGACTGTTTGTAGTAAGTATGGCCTGGATAATGTTCCTCGGACAGTGTCCACGTAAGATTCGTAGGCGACTCGCGTACTAGTGTGTGAGGCGCCGCATACTAAGTACGCTGAGAACCACCTGACCCTGCGCCAGTAACCTGAGCCGCGCCTAGCTGTCTGTTTCCGAGCGCGGGCGCCCCGCAGCTCGAGACTGTCTACAATTTACCGAAGGCCAGCAAGCCATGTTCAGCAGACCCTAATGGTAAATTGCATGCTTTCGGTACCATAATGCACTGAGCACTCAGTAGCCAGTAGCAGTCCCCGTGCAGGCACCGGGCCAAGTAGCAACGCCAGATCGTGACTGCTGTTAGCCGTTGTCGAGCCATAGAGCACTTAGCCGCACTGAACCATTTCGAAATGAGTCGAGAAATATTTGTAAATGTCCTGAGTTATATTTTTATAAATTTTAAAAGTTATTCGAGCCTACTTTTAGAGATTTTGAGAAAAGTCCAAGTCGAGAGTTCCAACGTCTAAGAAAGAGAAAGAATTAAGTCATGAACCTTAGGCTAGAAAAAATCCTTCAATATGCTAAATTAGTTACCAAGATTAGAGTTAGAATATTTGTTTGAGTATGCTTCATTTCTGTAGATCCTGAGGAGTCGAGCCCTCGAGTTTCCTACCAAAACATTCACTCATCCTTCAGCAGACTCCAGAAGTCAGGTGGGGAAGTCTATCTAGTACATCCTTCTGATTAAACACTGCGGTATTTTTGTTTGTCGTTATTTGCATGAATTACGTATTTCCAGTTTTTCAGTTTTATACCGTGATCTCCGTCGAAACGGTTGATCCTGTGCGGTATGAACAACTATTTTTGCAGTTGTTCCCAAATGAGATATGTCGTATGCTAGCTAGTACCCCGAGGGACTAAGTAGACAAAAGAAAAGAAAAGAAATGAGACTAGATGCACCGTCCAGACGGTTGCCAGAACTTCAGATGCACCATAGTCGGGTGCGTGCGAAACCATTATTTGTGTATTATATCTGCCTACAAGGTATCCATTGTTTAATTCGAATGTTCATACTTTATAGGCTAAAGGTGAGCATGTTGATTATTGTGCTCATCCCCCACAAACATCATTTTCAGGTTAAGCAGCTGGATAGACGACACAGGAGGGCAGGGAAGTGTGATCACCATTTATTTATTTATCAGCCATTTATTTTCAGACATTTGCAGATTTATTTTCATTATTATTTTCCATGTTGAGACACTGGATTATGAAATAATTTGCATGTTGAGTTTGATGATTGTGAAATTGAGTAGTTTGAGACATTTATGCATTTATGCTTGAGTTTATTGCATGTCTCGAGTTGTTTTGGAGTTAAGAGAAAGAGTATTTTTTAACAACGACCCAAGAAAAAGAATTTTCATATTTTAGAAAAAGTTTAAATTTACTTGAAAATTTTAGTATTTTCTTAAAATCAGAAGTGAGTGCTACAATTCAGTGAGGTGAAGGCTTGACTTGCATATTGCATTGACTTGGGAGTATGCTTGTTAGATAGCTAGTCCTGAATTTTGGTTCTCCTTTGGTATTTTTCTGAGTTTATGTTAGGGGTTATCTGTTTCTGTAGTTTGTGGCTTTAGTTTGATTATATTTTCCTTCTCTACTGAGGTTGAGTTAGCCAGCTAGGCAATTGCAGCGGTTGATTTAGCTCACCTCATTTAGCTTGTGTATCTTCTGTTATTCTCTTGTTGAGTTCTAGGTCACTCATATGCGTATCCTCTCATTCTGCATTTCAGGCTTTGGTTGGTTTTGTCGTTGTATTTGAACATTGTTCGCCTTTGAGTTATATATAAGTTCCTCTATCGTTTTGAAAAAAAAAAAAAAATATTTACGTCAAATAAAAATAATTATATCTAACTATACGTATAAGATATAAATTTATATATCAATTTAAAATAAATATAGTAAAAGTATTATTCACCAATTACATAATATAAGATCATTGTAAGTTAGTTGTTTCATTCCAATGTATTTCAAATAAAAATAATAATATAATTTTTAGAAAATATTTAAAAAAAATTAGAGCATGTTTGTATACAAAACTTTTCACTTATTTGCATATTTGTTTTTATTTATTTTTTATCTATATTAACTCAACCGGGTCTATGAGTCAAAGGAAAAGGCAACCGGGTTTCTCTTGGCAAATCGCCTATAAGAGAACAGAATAGTCATTTGTTATTATCTCTCGGAAGCCGGAACAGGTGACGGGGTTTAGGGTTTTCTTGCCTGTGGTTTTGTTGATGGTGAGATCTTTGTTCCTCTCTCGACTATGATTATTTGTTTAATAATTCTGGTGGGATGCATCTGGTTGCTAAATTTTAATATATTTCTTATTATTTGGCAGGCTGATTCTCCCCGCAAACGGTGAATTTCGGAATTCCTACTTTATTTCTCCTTTTGTTCTGCAAATTAGGTTTTCTTTACGTAGAATTAGTTTGGGGCTTCTGATCTATACTTTCGGCTTAGATGGGATTAAGTTTTAAAAGTCACCAATTTTGAACAAGTTGATACTGTAGGTGGCGTAGTATGTGTTTCAAGATCCAAAATTGAACAGCTTGCTCATGTATATCAGTTGTATTACTCTTAAAGTTTTTGATGTTCTGTTTTTCATAATTTTGTTTTGAT